AGAGAGAGAGAGAGAGAGAGAGAGAGAGAGAGAGAGAGAGAGAGAGAGAGAGGGACCAGAAACGATAATGCCACTTGACAAAGGATAGGAAAAGTTACGAGATAAAGAATAAGTTCCGCGCGTCGTGGGACGGCAAACGCGAAAATTGTTCACTCCAATTCGCAGAATCGTGGAAAAATATTTGCTCTGCATCGTTCGAAGATGATGCAAAGACAAATGATCGTTATTCATGCAAAATTACATCGTTACAAAAATACTCAAGCCCAACACACGAGTCGAAAATGCATGTAACATTTCCGAACATTTCGCGTCTTTACAAATTTGATCGTAGAGGAGATCAAGCCGAATAATCGAGGAAACGAAAATTTTCCATCGAGACCAACCGTCGCTCGTGTTCGCATTTATACATATGTTTCCGGAAACTCTCGTAAATCCAAAGAGTCTTTGCATCAATATCGACTCGAGAAGATGGAAGGAGAGTTTATATCAACCGCATAATAAGCAGATCTCTAATCAGTGCTGAAAAGTTTCGCGTATATATATTCGTATATATATTCGCATATATTTATTCGATATTCTCTTGATAAGTTCAGCAAAGCCATGCGCGGCGATACGATGAACATGAAACGTAGAATGGTGCCAGAGAAATCCGAGCGAATATGTGAGAGATAACGTGTGTGCTCGGTCATACATTCGCGCACAAACATCGACATTATCCGTGATGGATGTTTTGAATCCCCTTCCAGAAAACAACTTTCGACAGCGAATTGTTTGTAACACTATGTATAATTTCTAGAGCGTCTAGAAACGTGTGCTAATGCCGAGAGGATTGCAACGTTTTGCAGAATCATTACGCTGCGCAACATCATGCGCGATTATCAGCGCGAAACTATTCTCTCGACCCGAGTCGAAATTTGGATCCTATTTTCGACCTCGATATTCCATCTAACATCTATTCTATTTCGCCTATTTCAAAACCTATGTTAATCTCTTTTAATTCTATTTAACTTAAACCAAAAGCTTTGCTGAAAGTTTTTTTTAGAATAAGTGGCATTTTGTGCGTTTTCGACCATTCAGAGACGCTGAGTAGGATTTCAATTTTCCGTGTGTGTTATACGTATACTGGTCCTGCGGGATGTTAGAAAGTTCAAGTTGAAAGTAGATAGTCAAATTTCGACTCGAGGATACTCTACTTTTGTTTGAATTGGAAAAGTGGAAAAAAGGAAAACATTGTGGATAATTGGAAGTCGTAAAATCTGCTGTGAATCTCGGTAGACATTTAATAATTACACCCGGAGATTAATTTGAAAAAATGAAATGTAATTATTTAAATCACATTTTACACATGGAAACACCGCGAGTTCAGTTCTCCCTAGACAAATAGTTTCCCACTTGATTATGAAAGTAGAGGCGAATATATCACGTGAAATAAATCGGCTTACTTAATTTACATCTAAATGAGATAAATTCCGAAAGAATACTCGTAGAATCTCGAAGAAACTTACAAACCCATTCACGAGATGTCCTATGGCGAAATAAAGCACCTTCTCCCCCGATTAAATTACGCCACGCGTTACAGCCTATATATATTTCCGTCGTGTACAATTGTAAAAAATAAACACCTTCTGTCACCTTTAATTACGAGACCAAGATCGATCTCCTAGGTGCGCGATAAACGTGCTTAGAATAATAAGTACGTTCAATAAAGGGGCAGAAAAGGAGGATGATTCTGTCCCCACAATTATTCTGCGCCACTCATGAAATCAAAGAGAATATTTTCAAATATATTCGTTCGCTCCCGCACGGGTAATTTTTACTTTATCAAATCAATAATTTAAAATTATGAAAGACGATGAACGCGACGGAGAAAAGTTGCCGTGAATCCCCACAATCCCGCGACGACAACGAAGGACTATCCATAATAAGCAAATATCCAAGCAACACAGAGGCGGTACTCCCGATTCCGACGGGTCTTCGGGCGGAGAAGTTTCTGTCGGACCGCCATACCTTTGGCCTCCGGGGAAAATCGAGGAAAATTCGAAAGAGGGCTGACACGGAAGCGTAATACGCGCTGCTACGGGATGGAGAAGAATCGAGCGACCGGGTTTAGGAAAGTTGAGAACGAGATCCTTTTGATAAAACAGGACCGATTTTATGTTATTAACGGTGATAACAAAATGCGACACGGATTTTTAATTGCGATATTCGTTTGTGGTTCGCGCCGCAAGATGCCAGCAAACGATGAGCAAAAAATAAAAAAGAGAAAAAACGGAATAAAAAGGAAGGAAACGTACACGCCGACACTTGACCGCGAGCTTAATTAAAATGCGAATACGCGTTGCGTGTATGCAACCTGTAATCCACGTAGAAATGTGTGTACACGCATTTCGATTAAATTTGCATGCAAATGCCCTGCTACCTTAACGAAGTGAATTCAGCACATTGGCTTTTTCCTTCGCGCACGCCCACCCGCTTATTATGAACGAGCATCAGCGATTTCTTCGGAGTTATCCGCGCCGTGATCAGAGGAAAAGAAAAGAGCATCACCGTGTGATAGCTTCTGGCGATACGATCCCACTTAGACGGTGCTGCAGGGTGTGGCAAGCACCGTGTAACTATTTTCGACCTGTGCCGTGCGTCGTTGGCAAAGACCGTAATCAAGAAGAGGATCTTGAGAATGATAGTTTCTTAATTAGGAACGATCGGGTACGAAAGTTTGATCAGTCACCGAGGAGACAGCGCGATAATGGACAGTGAAATCTCTTCCCTCACCATTCGATTCTGCGCGTGGACTTAAATGGAATTTTAATTCGACGCGCGGCTACATCAAGTTATTTCATGCGAAAAATTAAGTTCTGAAAAATAAGGTTCTTGCCGACCGATCCAATTTACGTTACGGGAAAATTAAGATTTGTCAAAGAATTCCAACTTGACGCATTTATATATATATATATATATATATATATATATATATATATATATA